AACTGAAAGTAGTTAATAAAACTCAATATATAGGTGAGTGATTTAGCTAATTTGCAGAAGTCTTTAGCTAATTTGCCGGAGTATTTAACGAGGTGCAAGGGCAAACGTGAAACGTGAAAAACGGTTCATGACGAACACATGGTAAAATATTATTCCAATAATGAGTGAGAAAGGGAAATTCCACTCGACACAAATTAGATCATTTTGAGGACAAACATATGATAAATTTTATTTCAGTTATTGAGTGAGAGAGAAATGGGTCAAACCTCCACTCAACACCAACTAGGTCATTTTGAGACTAACATATGGTTAAATTTTATTTCAAAATTTGAATGCACATAGGGTTTAATAGCTGCGGGAGGAAACTGGAGGTTAGGCATGAGTCCCTACTACACTGTGCCACATACAAGTGTCATCTTATAACTGGCTCTCCTGATCCAAAATGTGATACCTCAACCCAAAGCAAGTTGATTACAATTTCTGTTGATGTGTTTCTGATATCAGCTACTGAAATTCATTGTCCAAATATCAACAATTTTCGCTGGTGACACCTTTGACTTCACGAACCACCAATTTTTTTATTTGCTGACCCCAAATTACGAAACACTGGTCTAGTTGATGCTGTCTAGCCATAAATCTCTGTCTTTTTCAAAATCTCTGTGCAAGAATGTGTTTTGTGAAGGTCAGATTAATACAGGGAAATTTTATTATTGATTTATTTTGAGACTGATGGAGTCCTTTAATCAAGAAATGGGTTTAGAAGGCTGACCTAATGTTGGACGGTTTCCTCAAAATACTTCTTACGTCTGATGAATTTTTGTTTTAAAATCAATATTCCATTCTACCATCAAGAATAACTAAACTGAGCATTGTTTAAAGGTGTTCGCTAGCCTGGAGGTCGGGTGTTCGATCCCTGCATTGGCAGAGAAAGTTCATCCAGATTTTCCAACATGGCTCCCCCGTGTCAGTGAGGCAGGTCCTGTGTAAACATTGATGTGCACGTAAAAGATCCCTTGACAGTTGGAATACGATATAAGAGTAGGATGCTGCCTGGGCAAAATTTCCCTCATAGCACACTGTATGGCGTATGCCCGTCTTCATTAGCCGAGTTCGGAGCAGAACAGTAGGACATTAAACCCCATTTCATTTCATTTCATAATTTGTTTGAAGACACTGATCATCACAGCACTGGAGTGATCTTGAATCCATGACTATCCCAATATTGGAAAATTTAACTCTGTACCAAAATAGTTCAATTCCATTCAGTTTTAACAAAGATATGATCGATTGAAAATTCTGCAACATTTGGAATACTCTGAAGACTAAAGAAACATTCAATGTACTCTGAAGACTATAGAAACATTCAGTATACTCTGAAGACTATAGAAACATTCGGTATACTCTGTAAACTATAGAAACATTTGGTATACTCTGAAAACTATAGAAACATTTGATATACTCTGATGACTGTAGTAACATTCGGTATACTCTAAAAACTATAGAAACATTCAGTATACTGTGAAGACTATAGAAACATTTGATATATTCTGACGACTGTAGTAACATTCAGTATACTCTGATGACTGTAGAAACATTCAGTATACTCTGAAAACTATAGAAACATTTGGTATACTCTGAAAACTATAGAAACATTTGGTATACTCTGAAAACTATAGAAACATTCAGTATACTCTGGTGTCTATAGTAACATTCAATACAATATACTCTGACGACTATATAAACATTCGATATACTCTGAAGAGTAAACCACAAGAGGAAAAATCACCCAGCCCCCTCCCTTAGGGTGTCATCTTCTCATTTGGCTGCCTCCGGGCCTGGCGACCTCATGATCCGTCACTGGGGTGAACCCCTTCATATTGGGGGGGAGAGACCCCCCCCCCCCAAAAAAAAAGTTCACTGCCCTTCCGCAGCCAGGTCTGGCTACAGGCCTGTGATGGGAAGTTATTTACTGTTATTATTTTGGTTTTGTCTTCATAATTAAATGTTAGATAAACAGTCTCAAGTCCATTTGATTATTCCATAAAAGATTTTATATTTTTCCCATAAAATGCAAATGTCACACAGCATAGACCTTAAATAATTAATTCAAGTACACATTGTACCATGGAATATTTGATTGGGATTGGCAACTTAAACCAGCATTAGTTGGGATTTACAACATCTATTTCAAGATATGCACTGAAATGTGACTTCAGGATTGTAACAAGAAAAAACTTTTGTTTTCAATTAAAAGCTGTAAAGAAATTTTATAGGTGACATTTTAACACATGGTAGCAGAAGAGCAAGACATTATCACTTGATTTTAAATGCAGCAGATTTTTCTTGGATTGATGTTTTATGGCTTTACCATGAATCATCACGGACGCTTTATTCAGCCAAACTGTCCTTAATTTCATTCATTATTGACAAACTCCTGCACTTTTTACTCACTCACAGCTTGTGATAAGCAAATTGCATATTGAATTCGTGGTAACAGTATTCTAATAGGTATAGAATTGACTATGAATCATAATCACATAGCCTGTCCGTCCATTTACACAAGTTTTTCGCGAGTAATTTCGAGCGATTAGAATATGCAGCTGTCTGTCAGACTTTATTTGTACGATAAACATTATTATTAGAGAATTTGTCTATTTTAATAACTGTAGAAATTAGAGTCTGATGATAATATTCATCTTTATTAAGTTCAACTTGGTTCGTTTCTACGGTTGAAAGACATGCAATCGTTTATATGATGTGACAATATTGTCAGTTTGTCAGTTGAGATTATTCACCAGGGGTTATATCCTGATAGGTTCACCAGTGTTACAGGTTTTATGAGCAAGCAAAGGCCTCAAAAGAAACAGAAATGTAGAAAACATAGCCCTTTTTAATCCCCTGCTAGCTATGAATCCTATGTCTCTGAATACATATTTTGTTATCAATTGCGGGGCTGCGGCATTTAGGTGATATATGGGAACTAATCATTTTGACACATATATATGATACGCTGTTTTACGGAGATTTCGTCTAATGGTTTGGATGCCGGCGGGTGTGGCGCCAGACAGGGTAAGCTTACTCTTCCGAACACCTGTTACCGCTGTTTGTCGTGTATTTTGTACACGGTGAACAGTCCATTTGCTAATTACATTATTTAGCTTCAAATTTTGCCTATACCATTTTTTTAGGACTTCGAATTTTGTCTAATGGTTTGGATTGTTCGTACTTGATTTTATTTTATAATAAGATTCTAAATGATGCTTTTCTGTAAACTGAAATATCCCTCCCATGGGTCATGTGTGTTGATTTTTATAGAGATATATATTAGAGAATTTGGTTATAAATCACAGATTATTGCCTCTGCCTTTAATCACCCCTATTATCTACTATAATTACTCTAAACTCTTTGATAGTTTAATGGCCAACATCACAAATTTATGTTTCTATAAATTTTCTTGTCGACATTCAACTGATGTGCAAATTATGTCAGATTTATGTGGCAGGAAGCTGTCATGGTGGACAGTTAGTGTTGTTATTTAAAACGCGGTAAATATTTTAAAAAGTCGAAACAAGAAGCGGATTACATGATTCCATTTTTGTTGGTTCATAAATTTTATGTATCATAAAGATAAAGTAAGAAGTATAAATTAAATGAATGAAATGAAATGGGGTTTAGCGCCCTGCAATTCTGCTCCAAACTGGGCTAATGAAAACGGGCATACGCCATACAGTGTTCTATGAGGGAAATTTTGCCCGGACAGCTGCACCACAGCCTACTCTTATATCGTATTCCAACTGTCAAGGGATCTTTTACGTGCACGCCAATGTGTACATGGGACCTCAGTTTTCCGTACCATCCGAACGACTAGACAGCTGTCCTTATCAGTCCCTCTATATAAATTAAAGACTATAGACACTGTAACCCGGGTATCATTTTATCTTGTGTATTTAGCACTAATTTCTTTCACATTCGTTTACCGGTAATATCAAATCTTTCTTTAAATGGAGAATCTATATTTAGCACTAATTTCTTTCACATTCATTCAATATCAAATCTTTGTTAAAAATATTTGTAAAAATCCTTTAAAATCACCCAATATCATCTAATTTGTACTTGTGTCCAGTTTAAAGATGACTGATTAACTTTGATTATGAGTGTTCAATTTACAAGTACTTAATTTCCTGACCACTGTTCAAAAATTAATCATTATACATCAATAATCAATTGGGTTGTTTATTTTTTAACAGTGATCAAGAAATTCTGTAGTGAATGGGTTATAATTTATTTAAATCTTTCTGTGGGTTATAATTTGAAACATGATTTATAGCTAAATGTGTAATCTAGAAACAAAGGAAGGTTGTTGTTATCTGTCATGTTTATGTCACATGTATGTCACTGACACCTAGTGACATCTATTACATATACCTGCACATATGGCATAATATATATATACATATATTATATACATTATGACATTTCAAGACACTGAATTAATGACAGACAGATAGCTTATGACTTGATTTTTATCAGAGAGAGAGAGAAATTGGGTTTAGTGTCCACTCAACACAAACTAGGTCATTTTGTTACTAACATATGGTTCAATAATTCACTTGTGCGTAGGGGTCTTTAGGTGTGGAAGGAAACCGAGGACCTCGAGAAAATCTAGAATTGAACCATATGTTAGTCTTGAAATGGCCTAGTTTTTGTCAAGTGGACGTTAAACCCTCTCTCTTTTCTCTCTGATAAAAATCAAGTCATAAGCTATCTGTCTGCCATTAATTGAGTGTCTTGAAATGTTAAAATATCTCTCTCTCTCTCTCTCTCTCTCTCTCTCTCTCTCTCATATATGACATGTTTAACTCTGCAAGGTTGTATATGTTCACACCTATCATATAATCCCTGTCACTGTAGCATGTTGTAATAAATGAACTGAAATCTGTTCATGATTCACAATTTTAAGTGGACAAATGACTAATGATAACACCCCTTTATATTCCAGGTGTGTTGCCAACCAATGATATGTCAGGAATTTTGACGAGTTGTGATAACAAAAGGATTATAAAACCGTGTAACACCTAGGGCCGTAAAACGAACAATTTAGAACTAACCAGGCTTCTACCGTAAACTATAAACTCAATCATCAATGGGTCATTCTGTGTCCATTTAACGGCTAGGAAGATAAAAGAATAATGACCAGTAATACTGTATTGATCACCTTGTGTTTGTAAAGGTAAGAAGATTTTTATCTTTATTTATTTTATAGAGATTTCGATCATAGGGGAGATAACTGAATGAAAAATCTTGATATTGTTGAAGTGATCGGATTATAAAAGTTTATTGGTAGTTTTTGTCTTTTCTGCTTGAAGTACGACCTTCTGATTGTTTGAAGTATCGTCACCTGGTTTGATTGGCACTTCAATTGGTGGTCGGTTGTCCATGGATTAAATTTGTGATCCCTATTATAATTGACCCATATGCTTCTAAATCTTGGGAGGTCGTCCATTTGAAATTTGAATAAAGCCAAGAGTATCCTGTTTGTAAAGTTGCATAGTAATAAATTGAGTAATTGTGTATCCATAAACATTTTATGTAGTGTTAATTTTGAATTAATGGGAACAGCAGGGCTGAATTAATCATTAACCAAGATAAGCACATGCTTAGGGCATCATGGTAATGGGGGCACCACAGAATGTCGTGCAATTAATAATGACGTGTAAAAAATCCCAGAAAAACTTTAATCAAGTTGTTTGTGGTTAATTATTCTTTATATATATATGGGGGCATCAAAATCTTTTAAGTGCTTAGGGCCTATATATGGAGGTCTTAATCTGGCCCTGGGGACCAGCTATTTAATGTCACCTGAAACAAGATGATAGACTAATTAATTTAGTACGGAATAAAATTAATTTGTTCATATGAATATAGAATAGTGTGAGTTCACGAAAATCTGGAGACTGTGGTATGCCAGTTTATTCAACTGGCGTGGATTCGAATCCCCAGTTGTACGTGACAAGGTGTAGGGTCGTCTGTCCAACCTTGTGGGTTTTCTCCGGGTCCTCCGGGTTCCTCCCACTGCTAAAGACCCCTACGCGCAAGTGAATTATTGAAATAAAATCAAACCATATGGTAGTCCTGAAATGACCTAGTTTGTGTCGAGTGGACGTTAAATCCCATTTCTCTCTCTCTCCATTCGTTCATTCGTGCGTGGAGTTTTACGTCCACTTTCTCCAAGGATGATATTGTAGACAAGTTTTCCATATAAATTGTGTACTCAATCTGTAAATGCCAGTCAAGGATTAAATTAGTTGAAGTACATGTAGGTGTTAAAGTCTATCTATATTGATCAGATTAATGCTGGGGATGAATCAAATGGTGATTCTTACTGTTATACTTAATCTCCTTTATTCTACAGCTGGTTGGATGACCGAATCAATGCAAGCCTGGAAATAAGGCACCTGTCACAGACAATGTCAGGCACATCAGGCTTTGTCAGCCACAAAACCTCTGGTTGGATGGCCGAATCACTGCAAGCTTGGAAATAAGGCACCTGTCACAGACAATGTCAGGCACAGATTCAGGCTTTGTCAGGCACAGCACCTCTGGTGCCTGTCATTTTGTCCGTAACTGATTTGCCTTTTTCATTGATATTATTAATACATGTCCTGCACTAAGTTGAAAATGTCAGGTCTGATTTCATTAGGGCCTGACATTTTGTCTGGTACATGTAAAACCGTTATTTCCAGGACTAGCCGAATTGTTTAGCAATGATTTCAATTAGCATGTGTGTTTTAGATGATACTGACTGTCATTGTGTCAAGCTGGGCCCTTATTCACGAAAACTTAAACTAAGATACAATTGAAATTTTAAGAAATACTGCAATTCGATTGGCTGACCAATATGCAAATTGGATATATGCAAATTGATTTTACTGGTCAGCCAATCGAATTGCAGTATTTCTTAAAATTTCAATTGTATCTTAGTTTAAGTTTTCGTGAATAAGGGCCCAGGTGGGTTTTTTTTCAACCCAAGGCCTGTACATGACAAGCAGTAGCAGTAGCGCTAGCCTAGCCTTGTGGGTTTTCTCTACGTCCTCCGGTTCCCTCCCACTGCTAAAGACCCCTATGCACAAATGAATTATTGTTGTTGCTGTTAGTTAGTTGTATTTTACGTCCGCTTCCACCGAGGTGATATCGCAGACAATAACATGTTATGTATTCAAGGTGCAATAATTTACAATGTGAATTATTGAAAAGAAATTGTACCAAGTTTGTGTTGGGTGGACATTAAGCTAAATAAAGCCATGTTTTAATCATGTAATCTCCAGGTATTAATTATAATAAATAGTTTTTTCTCAATAATAACAGGAGGTGTTCACACTAAACAACCCACAAACATCTTCTCAACAGTAGTAGGAGGTGTTCACACTAAACAACCCACAAACCTCTTCTCAACAATAACAGGAGGTATTCACAACCCACAAACCTCATCTCAAGAATATCAGGTTGTGTTCACACTGAACAGTTAACATTACAACATGGAGGATAGGAACACCGGTCCAATGCCTTTACTTTAGAAATAATTTCTATTACAAACAATCTCTCAGAATGGTGTAAACTTGGTAAAAGCTGTTGAAGGCAAGTAATTTTCACGTGATTAAGGTGGACCCCTATTGAGACATTTTAAGCCCTGCATGCCATAAAAGTGTCCAGTGTGAAGAGTTAAAGAGTTGGTTGTATTTGAAGAATGGTGTCCTACCAGCATGCATTATAGTATTTAATAGGGTATTAGTGGACGATGCATTAATAAAAAGAACATTCCAGGTCTGAGATTATTAGGTTGTCTAGTTTGATTTTCATTGAAGCAGACGTTTGGGTGTGGTGGGATTGACGTGGTGTTATAAGGTAATTCCATCATTTTGTTCATTTCAGCTGATTATCGGGCTGAATTGTTTACTTGTAACTTGATTGAAGTTACAACAATATTTCACTTTATTGTTGAGTTTGTTTTCAATTTGAATGAATCTGGTATCACTGCAAGATGCTTACAGCAGGTCCCTGAATCCATTCACTTGATTTGATAATATTTTTATTATTTACAATGTCTGTGTTGTCTGTGGGTTTGTCTTCCTGGTTTATGGTTATGCATTGTGCCGTACTCCTGTACTTGCAGTCACAATATGATACATATTGCGATTCAGGTGCTACAATACGATTCGTATCACGATACATAACCAGGTCCGGAGGGCTTGACAAGGACAGCTGTCTAGTCCTTCAGATGAGACGAAAAACCAAGGTCCTGTATATATATTGGAATGCACTTAAAAGATCCCCTGGCAGTTGTAATTCTATATAAGAGTAGGTGATAGTGCCACTGCCCGGGCAAAATTTCCCTCATAGCACACTGTATGACGTATGCCCGTCTTCATTAGCCCAGTATAGGAGCAGAACAGTAGGATGTTAAACACCATTTCATTTCATTTCATAACCAGGTCAATATTTACCAAGACAATTACAACAGGATAAATGAATAATTTATATATTTAATCCTTTCGATGTCATAGAAATAAAACTGTTTCATATCACGATATTGATGTGTGTCAAAATAAGGTCTAAAACAATTTAAGATTGTTTGTGTAACTATGAATAATGTTTGGTTCATAAAGTTAATTAAGTCTATCAAATCAATTGTTAACACTTTTGCTAATTTAACTTTTGAATTTATCAGAACAGCATATTGAATCCTCAAGAAATCTGGAATATATTTCTCATTTGAAATAATTTTACTGTAGTTCATATTCTATTTATTGAGATTTCGATGTTAATGTATCTGAAACAGCATATTGAATTCATGAGAAATTGTAAATATATTTCTCATTTTAGATAATTTTACTGTATTTAATATTCTGTCTGGAGACCATCTTCATTAGCCCAGTCAGGGCAGAACAGTAGGACGTTAAACCCCATTTCGTCTATGAAGACTTTAATGTTCACGACGACTATGAATAATATTTAACCAATTTAACCACCTATGCACGTTCAAAAATGAATTAATAATGAAGTTAGATTGACAATAAATTTGTATATAAACGTCTATTGTACATATAGCACAACATGGCTATCGTGCGTGACATTAAATATATTCTCCCGTAAAATTATTATTTAATACAGTAAATATATTATAATACAGAGTGAATATGTGTCGTTATTATACCAACATTTCAAAAGTTCAATATCTAAATTTGTTAATAGTATAATAATAGCTGTGTTAATAATGGTTGTATTTTTAAAGAATTTAGCTGTCCGTCAAATTGCCTGCCATAAATAAGAATAACAAAGAGTTTAACCTTAAAAAAAACCCCTTGAAATCTCAATTGATAGCTTTAAGAAATCGCTAAAGACATATCTCTTTCATAAATTAATTATTTATTAGTATACTATATTTATGTACATAATAAATTATATATTTTATTAATTGTACAGTGCCATTGAATATCATTGTTCAATGCTATCTGAATATATCGCCAAACGCACCCTAAGGTCAAAAAATCATCACCTTCTAACAGTACCAAGTTATAGACTTAAATCCTTTGGGTTTCAACGATTTTCCCACTTTAGAACTCGTTACCCGAGAATCTCAAAACTCTGCAATGTTTGGAAACTTTCAAATCAAAACTAAAATCTCATATGGTTGAATCCTGTTATAAAGAGTGAACTATAATACTGAAGAGCTAAACAAACCTGCGCCATGAGCATACTGTTTGGATGGAATGCGCGCAATATAAATATTCATTATTATTAATGAGTGCCACTCCTATTCAGCAACATCTCCTTGTAAGCGGTCATGAGACCCTACTCCTTGTCACATATGACTGGGGAATCAACACCACCTCAGTTGACTCAATGACAGACCTTATGATACAGTGTGCACATGCTAACCATTCGGCCATCCGACCCCCTAAAATGCTAAGAGTTTTGTGAAGAATTAAACGTTTGGATAACATGATTTAAGTGGTCAGATAATTCCTGACATAAAGAAACTAGTTACACCATTCAAGAGGTGGCAGACTTGACTCGTGTGATTACATAATTATGATAAAAGGTGAGAATCAGATTAAAACCAGGTAAATAATTAACATAAATGGTCAGGTATAATTCATTAACATAAATGGTAAGGTATTTAATCACTTTGTTAATTAACAACTTAATTAAAGGTTGATATGTGCACACAAA